TAGTGCCTCAATATTTCTTCTCGAGTCACGTACGGATCATGTGCTTTCAGTAGTACGGGCTCAATACTACCTTCCACACCTATCCGTATTTGTCTCAGGTCGTCCTCTCAAAACCCTAAGTTACCAGAACACTATTCTCTTAACCACATCACAATTCACTCTTGCAGGTTCCTCATAACCACTACTAGGCACCTAGGCACTCATCCTAGGTCACTCCATAATCACCACTCCTCCTCGTAAGATCCTCGTTATCCCTGTCAATTGCCTCGCATATTCTAATTGTACATAGACTCATATATGATAGACAGTCAAATAAATGACTCCACCTTAAATCCACAACCAAACGGGGAACAGGTCGAAAGGCTAAATCAGGCATTCTAAGGCTATAAAATCCTAACTATGTACAACTATGCATCATATACAAAGCAACTAACAAGAATAAGTTTGAACTTAAGAAAGCAACCTCCTAGGCTAAAGGCATCACAAATCAGGCGACTCTATCATGCATATACTGAGGGATCTTTAGCCTAATTAGAATGTAGTTCTATTAGCTCAAATAACAACTTATCAAAGCACATAATCAATTTAGGGTATTTTGGGAAATCACCGCTCGGGCTCTGGTTGATTGTACACACCGCTTCAGACCTGCCTGTAAAACTCTTTTCTTTCCTTTGAAAATCATTTTATGAAAACATTTCTTTTTAAAAACTTATCAACTCCTCAGTTTGAGTCCATACATACTCGAGGGTGTGCCTGAATCCCTCAAACCAAGGCCCTGATATCAAATTGTAACACCTCAAATTTCAAAACAAATTTTTTATTTTTAAATTACCAAACATTGTTTCATAATTAACAAAACAATGTTCTTAGAAGGCAAAAAAAGAGAAGATAGAATCGAAATTCCAATTTCCGTTCTCTCTCTAGCTCTTTGATCTCGACGTTCTCGGTGTTGGAATTGGTTTGTCATTGATTTGATTCCACTGTTTCCCTCTTCTAATTCAGTGATTCGTGTTCTCTATAATCGTTTGTGAAAAAATGAATCATAAACTTCCTGATTTAGTGGCGATTGAAGTGAATTCGAATGAAATGTATGAGTTAGTGCCACCTCCACTTATTGTTGAGGAATCGGCGTTGATTGCTGCGAGAAATAAAAAAAGAAATCAGTTGGAAATAGAAAGGTGAATCCAAATTTACCAGGAATTGGGAAACCTAACTGGAAAGTTATGACGAGAAGAGGTGTGAAGATAGATCAAATTACGGTTAAAAGGTCACCAGTTCAGACGATGTGTGTTGAATCAGTGAGAATACGTCATCTAAAGGTATGAGCAGGGGCGGACGTAGGAATTGATAGTAGGGGTTGCCAAAAAAAAATCCGGTCAAACATAATTTAAAACTGAAAAATAATTCATTACGTCTAATACAAAAAAACGATTCATTACATAAAAAGTTGAAAACATAACTATCTACTACAATTTAAATTTGTCCTCTTCGTGCGGACATCTTTTGAAACCGCTCCATTACTTTTTCATTCTCAACATTATCATTAGATTCATTACAACATGGTGTTTGTGGAATTGCATTAGAAACCGAAGGGGTTGATTGATTGGTGATTGGTGTTTGTGGGGTTGCATTAGAATTAGAAACAAAAGAGATTGATTGATTGGTGATTGGTGTTTCGGAACATCCTTCACCACTTTCATTAGGATTAGGTCTTGGTCTTTTGGTAAAAAAACCACTTACTTTAACCTATAAAAACATAGCAATGTAACCTAATAAAAAAATAACTTCAATAAAACATAGAATTTTCACCTAATACATAATCAAACAATAACATGTAAGCCTAAAACATAGCAATTTTAACATATCAAACAATCAATTCAATAAAAATCATATAAATTACAACTAATCAAAAAATAATTTCTATAATAACATATCAATTTTACCAAATCATCCAAATATCCAATAACTTCGTAGCAATTTTAACCTATAAACCATAGCAATTTTGAATTTTGCTTAGCAATTACAACTATAAATTTGAAAACCATAGAAAATTAGAAATACTTACTTGCTTCATTAGGGTTTGGACCTTGGATTGGAGTTGTTTTTGCACTTGGAAGTTGGAAATCGATTTTTACACTTGGAGAATGGAGATTATCGGTCGAAGTTGGAAGTCGATTGTCGAAGTCGCGATTGTTGAATGTCGATCGATGAGAGGCTAGGACGGACAGAAGGAAAAAATCAACCTCACGTTTTTTTTTCTTTTGTTATTCAAGAATTGAGACTTGGACTCTTGGACCCAATTGAACAATTGGATAATTGTTTATTTGGGCTATTTTCTCATATTTATTTTTTTTTGGGTTAATATTAGGTGGATTAAAATAAAAATGTGTTTGGGCTACTAATTATTGGGGCTTAATTGATCCAATGTGTTTATATAACTAGTTGCAATTTTTTTAGTAGTTGCCATTTTATTTTTATTTCGTAGTGGCACAAAAGGTAAAAAAAAAATCGAAAAATTCCTGCTGTCTGCCGCAAAAGCAGGTGTTGCCAGCAACTCTGTGCCCCTCATCAAGTCCGCCCCTGGGTATGAACCCTAATCCCCATTCTGATAATGGATGTGGTGATGTGAATGAATCTGTTAGTGCTTTATCGGATGTGGTTCCCGATGGTAACACAACGTTTTTATCTAAATTTTGGGAATTCTCTGAAATTGAAGATGCTAGGTTGAATATGGGTACCGTTGAAGATGAAATGATCAATGCTAATTTGAATTTAGCTGTTGAAAAGGATAATGATAATATGACTGGTATGTATTCGAATGTTAGTGATGAATCTAAGGTAGGGGATGAATTTGTGGAAGGTGTGGGATTCAAATTCGTTGCTAATCTAAAAGAGAAGATGAAGTATTCTGATGCTATTAAACCTAATCTCAATTCTTCGGTTGAAGAGTTTTGGAAAATCAGATACTATTATCATGGATGAAGCTGGTGTTACTCATGAAAAAGGGATGGATACTAGTAATCAAAATGGTAATGGGGATGTGAAGATTGGTACTAACAAAAGTTCTTATGCTAATATTGTTAATAGGGGTGGTAACAGGAATCATATCCCTATTAAAGTGTTTCACTATGCTGATGATCTTGATGACAAACCTGTTGATCTACCAATTGAGAATATTAGGAATGCAAGTCTTCCTTTTATTAAAACGCTTTATGGATACTTTATTGGTGCAAAAATGGCTTTTCCCACTGCGAGTTATGCTCTTAATCGTATGTGGAAAAACTATGGGCTAGAAGATATCTCTATGAATAAGAGTGGATTCTTCTTTTTTAAGTTCATTTGCGAATATAACATGAGAATGGTGTTTGATAGTGGGACTTGGATGATCAATTATGTCCCTCTGTTTGTTCAAAGATGGAGATCGGGATTAGCACTCACAAAGCCTAATGATAATAAAGTTGTTGTTTGGGTTAGGATTTATGACCTTCCTCTTGAAGCATGGAGTGGTGATAACTTGTGTTGTATATTTAGTAAAATTGGAGTTCGCTGGCTTTTGATTCTTACACTGAGGACATGTGTATTAATCATAAGGGAAGGAATGCATATGCCTGAATGTTAGTTGAAATGTCTGCTGAAAAGAAATAGAAAGATGTTGTGGAGGTTAACACGTGGGATTTTTTTTGCTAATTCATCGTTTTTGAAGAAATTTGAGGTGGAATATGCGTGGAGACATGATCGTTGTTCTCATTGTAAAATCTATGGGCACTATGATCAGAATTGTGTTGTTGTGATTGTTGCATCAAAATTAGCTGCTGATAATGAAAATGCTAAGAATTCTGATTTATTATTCACAGATGGTATTGTTAATTTCATTAATAATGACGAAGGGTGTACTATGGTGGGTAAGAAGAATGGGAAAAAGAGGTGAGTAAGGGAAATTCAACTTTTAATGATAAAGGGAATCAAAATCAGGGAAACAAAGTTGGATATGGTAATAATAATAAGAAAGGAAATAGGTATAGTAACAGATAAGGAAATTTTGGAAGGAAAAGGGCATATAACAATAGAGAGTATGATGGAGACAATAGAAGATTTAACTATAAATATGCTAAAAAGAATGAGGGGAACCAAAATGGTGGGATAAATGGTTACAAGGGGAATGGAAATGGTATGATTGAGCAGAAGGATAACATTTTGAAGCAGCAAAATTTTCAATCAGGGGTTAAAGAAAAATTATTGTGGGTGGTGGAGGTGCTACGGCAAAGAAAATATATATGGAAGTTTGAAAGGGACATTCAATCAAAAACCAAATGTGAAAGTTGATGTCAAAGCAAATCAAAATCGGTTTGATATTCTTAATGAATTTACGGATAAGGAGATGGAGGATATAATTTCAACTAGCAAAATTAAGGATCATGATGCTAATTTCCATTCATTGGATGATTTGATTGATCCTATTGTCATGGAGGAAGTTGGGATTAGTGGAACAAAAGGTGATAATATTGAGAATGTTCAGAATACTCAGGTAAATGAGGGGATATCTGTCAAAAACATTACTATAGTCCAATGATGAATATTGGTTTTTGGAATATTAGAAGTATGAATAAAACCTTTAAACAGGAAGACGTTATAGATGTGGTTAAGAATAATAAGATGAGTGTTTGTGCAATACTTGAATCTCATCTGAGAATTAAAAAATTAAAAAAGGTGTGGAGTAAAGTTTTTGAGAATTGGGATTGGATTATCAATAATTCCAGTTCTAAAGGGGGTTACGAGAATCATTATAGGATGGGATCCTAATGAAATATTGATCAACATTATCATGCATACTGATCAGGTGATTCATTGTTTTGCTCATTGCATAGAGTCAGGAGTAGATATATATTTCTTTTTTATATATGTTGCTAATGACTATATTGCTAGAAGAAAGTTGTTGAAGGATTTGGAATTGCATAAAAATGTGATGAAGGATAATCCTTGGACTTTATTGGGGGACTTTAATGTTTGTTCTTAACCCCTCTGATTGTTTGACTGGTTCTTCTAAGATGAGTTCTGGAGTTGCTGATTTTCAAGATTGTGTTAATGCTATTGAAATTGTTGATATTAACAAATCAGGTCTCCAATTTACTTGGACCAAAACTCCTCGAGGTAATAAAGGGTTATTGAATAAGTTGGATCGCATAATGGTCAATTTGAGATTCTTGTCTGAATTTGCTAAGAGCTTTGCTGTTTTCAAGCCATATCGCATCTCTGATCATTGTCCTGTTGTTTTATCGATCCCAATAGTGAAATGTCGTATAATCAATCCTTTCAAATTCGTGAATTTTATTGCCCATAAAAAGGATTTTTTTACCCATGTTGGAGCAAGGGTGGAAACGAGAGGTGGTGGGTTTTTTCATGTACCAAGTTACCTAAAAGCTTAAAAGTCTAAAAAGCCCATGTTGTAAGCTGTTTGATAGTTGCAGTAAATTTGAAAAGAATAAAAAGGACTTAAGGGTGATAATTGATGATATACAAGGGGAGATTGATGCTAATCAGTTTAATGAAAATTTAAGATGTAGATATGCTGAAATTCTTAATGAATTTTATAATGTTTGTATTGATGAAGAACGGTTTCTAATTCAAAAATCCAAAATTAATTGGTTGAAGGAGGGGGATAGGAACAGTGCTTTCTTCCATAAAAGTCTTAAGTGTCGATTGAATAGACATCGGGTGAATATTGTGTTGGATGAGAATGGGAACTGGAAAAGAGGAAAGGATGTTCCTGTGAAATTTGTTGAACATTTTAAAAGTTTCCTGGGGTTGGAGGTTAATGTTCAAAATATGGATAACTTTGAGTCCCTTTTTCAAAATAAATTGGATTCTGCTGATGCTCTTAATATGGTTAGAGTTGTCACAGATGAGGAAATTAAGAAGGCGATGTTTGATATAGATAATAACCGTGCTCCAGGGCCTAATGGTTATTCATCTTGTTTTTTTAAGTCTTCATAGAATATTGTTGGGAAAGATGTTTGCAAGGCTGTGAGAGAATTTTTCTGGTCTAGTAAGTTGTTGAAGAGGTGAATGCTACCAAAATTAGCCTTGTTCCTAAAGTCGAAACTCCAAAAAAAGTTATGGATTATCGTCCTATTGCTTGCCGCAATACTCTTTATAAGTGTATTAGCAAAGTTATTGTTAACAGGATAAGTGGATATTTGGGTAAAATCATTAATTGCAATCAGTCAGCATTCATTTCGGGAAGATCAATCATACACAACATTCTTTTGTCCCAAGAACTTCTGGTTGGGTATAATGGCAAAAAGGGATCTCCGAGATGTTCCATGAAGATAGATATACAAAAAGCGTATGATACATTTAGTTAGGGGTTTCTTGAAATGGCTCTTAAGGAATTTGTTTTTCACCCTTTCATGATCAATTGGATCATGACATGTGTTTTGACCCTTTTTTTTTACTGTTAGTGTTAATGGAGAGGATCATGGGTATTTCCTAGTAGAAGGGGATTAACACAAGGTGACCCTATGTCACCTTACTTATTCACTATAGTCATGGAAGTCTTCACTTTGATTATTAACAAGAAAATATTGGAGTGTAATTCATTTAAGTATCATTAGAAATGTCAGGATCAGAAAATAACGCATCTCTATTTTGTTGATGACCTTCTCCTGTTTTGTTATGGTAATGCTGCTTTAGTGAGAGTGGTTAAAGAAGCTTTGGATGACTTTAAGAGTTTGTCTAGGCTTTCTATCAGTCTCTCAAAGAGTCAAATTTTCTTTATTAGAGTTTTTGCTAGAATGGAGAGTATAATTTTGGGTATATTGCCTTTTAGTAGTGGGGATCTTCCTGTCAGGTATCTTGGTGTGCCCCTTACGGTTTCAAAACTGTTTAAACGTGATTGTAATGGGCTGGTGGAGAAAATTAAAAGGAAAATATTGTATTGGAAACATCGAAGTCTTTCATTTGATGGAAGATTACAATTGACCAATTTTGTTCTCTATTCTTATCATGTGTACTAGGGATCTGTGTTTGTTATTCCTCCAGCCACGATAAAAGAAATTGAGAAAATTTTAAGAGGTTTTTTGTGGTGTAGTGGTGAGCTGAAGCAGGGAAAGGCCAAAATGAATTGGAAAATGGTGTGTAGACCTAAAATAAATGGTGGATTGGGAATTAAGAACTTAAAGATTTGGAACTTTGCGTTGTTATCTAAACAGGTATGGAATGTGATTAATAAAAAGAATACTTTATGGGTTCAATGGGTTTGGAGGAATCATATAAAAGACAGGAACTTTTGGGATATTTGGTGCAAGCAGAATTTGAGTTGGACTTGGAAGAGATTTCTTGGATTGAGATAGTATCTTAGAAACCATATTGTTTCTAAGATAGATAATGGGAAGTATACTTCTATTTGGCATGATTATTGGCATCCAAGTGGGATTATTGGGAATTATATCAACCGTAGAATAAGATTTGTTGAAGGATATAATGACCAATCTTCTGTTGAGAATCTAAGGGTTAATGGTGATATTAGTTGGCCTCATAATTGGGTTGTGGTGTTTCCTGGATTGTTGGAACAACCTATCTGCGAGGGTAATCTGAATGAAGAGGATTGTATTCTTTGGAAGGATATTAAAGGCAATTTTGGACCTTTTTCTTCTAAATTGGTTTGGGACACCATTCATCCTCAAGATGATAATGTGTCATGGTACAATATTGTTTGGTATAGTAATAATATTCCCAACCATGTGTTTGTTCTTTGGATTGTTGTCAATGAAAGATTGAAAACTCAAGTTAGAGTTAAAATGTGGGTGAAATCTAGGAATTTGACATGTGCTTTTTGCAAGCTTGTTCCGGATTCTCATGAGCATCTGTTCTTTAATTGTGCTTTTACGGGAAGGATTTGGGATCATGTTAGGAAGATTGCTAGATTGCATAATCTGCCAATTGGATGGATGGATATAATTAATTTCTTTTCTAATCACATTAAAGGAAAATCATTGGATTGCATTATCAAGAGGTTGTGTCTAACCTATACAGTCTTTTGCATATGGAAGGAAAGAAATATTAGGTTGTTTCAAAAAATGGAATCAATTGAACTGAATATCATTAAAGAAGTAGAAGGAATTATTCGGCTTAAATTGTTAGGAATGAATTTCCCATTCAGTAAAGGCAATGCTGGTATTTGCAAGAATTGGGGGATTAAGAGGTTAAAGAATTGGCCAGAAGAGGATAGCAGCACTAGTTTTGATCCTAATGGAATTAGCTCGAATAGATTGGTGTAGATGGTTTGGGTGGATTCGATTTAGATGGTGGAAGGGTTACCTCTGTTTTATGTTGCAGAGGATGAATTGGATTTTGATTCCATTTTGGACTTTGTTCAAATGGATTTTCAGAATCTGTTTTAGAATTGATGGAATATACATTAAAATTAAAGGGTTTCCTTTAATTTTAAATGTTTGTACCTCTCGAGATGAGTAGAGGGATATGATCTTTATTGAGATTATCCTAAAACTTTATCTTGGACATGTGATTGATGCCATGTCTAGAATGAAACTTAATGGAATTGACAGATTTAACCGTTATAGTTTATCTTGTAAAGGAAGTATTTTTTTTACTGTACAGGGTTACTTCCAGTCATTTTTGGTGGCTGCTGAAGTTTTTATCGAGAAGATGGGGATGCATTTATGAGGCTTGTTTGTGGTGGCAAACCAGTTGGGATATGTTTTTGTTGAGCATTATCATGAAGATGTGGAATGAGGCTGGAAAGGTGAGCAAGACTATGTGGTACATTTGGAGTATTTTTGTGTTTAGAGTTGTGATTTGTGAAGAAAAGTTATACTTTTTTGGGGGGGTTTTGATTGGTCTTGGTTTTGTTTCTCCTTGGATGTCGGGTTTTTTTAAGGGCCTTACCTCTTGTTACTTTTCTAATTGAAGGTTGTTTTGGAAGGGGCATTTTTGGAATAGCAAGACTTTGGTCTCTTTCGAAAAAAAAGCATTGTTTCATAATTCCAAAACATCACAAAATCACATATGAAAAATACAAATCATCATCATCATAAGAAAATCAAAGTATCCCAAAATCCACATAACATCCTCAACTGACGAGTGTGTACAATCAAGCTTTCGCATTCCCGTGATCTTCAGAAGTACCTGAAACACATTTAAATCAACACTGCAAGCATGAAGCTTAGTGAGTTCCCCAAAATACCACATACATAATTAGCCTCTCATAGCTATATCTCAACAAGACCCTCTGGTCTCATATCTCAATAAAGACCCTCCGGTCATAACTCTATAAAATAAGCACAACAACACAAGTCACAAAGATAGCATGCAAAGTACACATATCTCAATATACGCAAATAAGATCCTCCGGTTAATCTCAACAAATAAGACCCTCGGATCACACAAATAAACTACCACTCAGGTAAGTATAGTGAGAAGACTCACCTCGAACAGATGACTGGGCAAAATCTCACACCCGAACTGCCGGACTTAACTTCATCTAATAAACACCACAATTAACCCTAATTAATAATTAGACAAAACTGCAAATTTGGTCCCTGTGGTATTCAAAAAACTTTGGATAGGATCCAAAAAGTTTTCAACTTGCATGTAAGGTCCAAAATCAAGGTTTTTTTGAGTTTTTGGTCCAAAAAAACTTAAAAGACGGTTATGCCCTTTTGATTTCTTTTTTCCTTTTTCTATAAGTATTTTAATGCTATTTTGACTTTAAAAAAAAAGAAAAAAAAGAATTTTCCACCCTCACCCCCACCCACCGTACTCTCTCTCTCTCCCCCCTCTCTCTCTTTGACTCTTTCTCTCTCATCTGCTTGATCTCCTCAAGACTGGAGTCTAATGAAGAATCCTCATAATACCCTTTTTCCTTATCATAATGCCCACCAAATTCCTTTTAAGAATCACTCAAGTTGTTACGATGCTGATCATATACACCAACAGTACTACGATACTCATAATGGCAGCTCCCATCGGAATTAGAACTGCAACTAGCTTGATCACCTCCAAAGAAGACAAGGGTAGAACTGTCTTTTACCTCCTGCTGGTAAGTCTCCGTGGAAACCAAACCGAGAAATCCATGATCTTGTGATTGGAGAGTTGGATGTTGACAATTAGCAGCATTAATTCTAGGGCTAGATGGGATAGATAAGGTTTGATCATTGTAGCTAGAAGTATTTGTACTGTACAAATATGATGGAGACGATGATATTGATGATGATAATGGAGCATTAACATTGATATTACTATTTTGAAAAATCGATTGTGATGGGTAGCTGAAGTTTGTTGAAGAACTGAAACATTGAAGATGTTGAATAGGTTTTCTAAGTTCGGGTAGGGTGATTAAGCTGTTCATCATCTTCTTCTTCAGCTTTGTGTTCCGGTAGTTCTTGATATCATTGTCTGTTCTTCCTGGTAATTGTGCTGCCATTATTGACCACCTGCACATTAAGTTATTCAAACTTCTAGATTTCTGCATATATATTCACATCTGAAAGATCTTGACAAAAATTTCCATTTTTGCGTGCTAAATACTACAAAATCGCCCTTAATACAGAATCTTGAAAGAGAAAGTGTACCTGCTACCAATGCTAGCAAAGAGGACACATATAACTTTATCTTCATCATCAGAAAATTCGTCATTTTAATGTTTGGTCTCAGATAGTTCAACCATTGAAAGGAAAGAGAAAGAGTCAGAGAGAGAGAGAGAGAACGGTGGGGTAGGGGTGGAAAATTCTTTTTTTTCTTTTTTTTTAAGTGAAAATATCATTAAAATACTTATAGAAAAATAGAAAAAGAAATAAAAAGGGCATAACCGTCTTTTTAAGTTGTTTTGGACCAAAAACCCAGAAAAACATTGATTTTGGACCTTCCATGCAAGTTGAAAACTTTTTGGACCCTATTCAAAGTTTTTTGAATACCACTGGGACCAAATTTGCAGTTTTGTCTAATAATTAATTTCGAAATCTCAAAACACTAGACCAATCCCTCAACTAAGTCCCAAGAGGGAAAAAAAGACCATTTTGCCCCCTCTTTGGTCCAAGATCCATAAGTTTGACCCAAAAGTCAAATTCAACGGGCATCACCGTCGCGGGGCGTACAGCTCGTACGCAAGGCGTACGTCTAAGCTGTCTTCCGACGGGAGTGCTTCTGGCTACGTGGGGCGTAGCCAACATGTACACAAGGCATACTGCCTTAGATCCCAAAATCTTCATATTAAGGCCTTAATCCTTAAGACACAAAATCAAATCATATATCTAGCCTTATAGAGATGTCTTAATCCATAAAGTCACTGACTTTAAGCCTTTGCAAGGCTAGGAAGGGCTTAAACCACAAAACTCTAACTTCTACAACACTCAAGGTCATTAATCTCACGCGTGCATAGAAAGCAACCATCAATAAAACATTTTTACTGATTAAGGCACCCAAAAGCATCTAAAAAGGCAGCTCACAAGCTCTGGAATGATCATCACTCACAAAGATCCATTCTTTGGACAAAAAGCTTAAGAAAACCCACTATATAGATCAAGAAGATAACTCAGCAAGGTAACGAATTTATACCTTCAAAAGGTGCACAATGTGAAGTAGTTTTTGATACCACAAGCTTGTATGCAACAACACCTTCTTCAATGGCCTTCTTCTTCCTCAAGAGAGTACCAAAACCACCAAAATGCTTCAAGAACTTCACACACAAGAGAAAGGGTTGAGATTAGGGTTTGGAAGGGATGCAGGCTGACTAAGGGAGGTCTATGGGTGAGTTAATGAGGTTAAATAAGGGTACAACCCTAAAAACTAGGGTTTAAGGCTGCACGGCGTACGTCGCCTCTGCGTTGACCATTCGTTTGACGTACGCATGGCGTACTCAGCAAGTAGGCCCCGCGTACGTCGGTTGGCCATGACCTTAACAAAAAATCCAAACCACAAGGACTAGAAATCAAACCTTATAATTATTAGGATGTTACAACATTATAACTCCACGAAGAGTTCCTCTATAATGTATCCACCAAAACAAGAATAAAACCACTTCAAGATGCTAGTCTTCACTTGTATATCCGTTATTCTTAAGCCTTATAAATATATACAAAATATATCTTCAAACGAGAAGAAACTAAGAGCCTTTAATCTAACACCAAATTGCAAGGAAAAGAGGAGGGGGAAAGGCTAGAAAACCACGAAATTGGCTCTAAAAAGAAGAGGAAAAGAGTGGTAAAAAACTCAATAGTTTTTGGTTACTTAGTCTCCTTTATATACCAACATAAGAGTACTAAAGCCCCATACTATTATCTAGTCAAAGCATGGAACAAAAGGACAAGTACGATGGAATAAAATAATCACAACACACCAACTTCCTTACCTCTTAAAAGCCATGGCTAGGAGAAGGGAAAATGATGATGTTTTGTGCTTTATTCTTTCTAGTAACTAGCTAATTATATACTAACTAAATGGTTACTCTAGTGCGCAAAAAGTTGTACATATCATTAATAATCATACTATATGATATTAAGCTAGTTTTTGTTCTTTTTTATTGTTATTTTCTAGGAACAATAATTCTCAATATGTTGGCAAATTTTGTTTTCATGAAATAATGTTTTTCCAATTAAATACAAGTGTTGATAATATTTATTAATAATCAAATTATACTAATAAATAATCAATTAGTAGTAACTTGCTATAAGGTGTAGCCCTATAGGATCATATGACATTAACAATATCATTCTATAATGACTCTTAGGCATATAACATCTTTCAGCTTTTGGAGAACATTTGAAGGTGGAAGTATAACCAGTCTCAGGGGTAACAAACAAGTGAACAATTCAAATAGAATCTGACATGGAAATGATTACACAAACAGAAGGCGGAAATGATGAAAGCAGTTATCAACTTACAGCATGAACTTGGTCAGATACACCATTATGCACAATAGAGTACTTGGGAAGGAAAATAGCTCCGGCTCAAACATGAGAACTTGGCAGGTCAATAGGAAAATCTTGGTTGGAAAGATAAGAATGATATCTCATATGCTAATATCAGTGATTATTATTGATAAATTGATGTGAATGCATTTTTTGTAGCTGATATGACTGTCTCAGCATCATAATGCACCCACTGCACGTAAAGTTGTCATCCCCCTAAATGGAATTTAAGGTGCAACTACTAGAAATATATTACAAGAATGGATTTTATTTTCTTTCTTGGTAGCTGACATTAAGTCTAATCAAGATTATGTTTTTATTGCATAAAGTTAATGAAAGAAGTTGAAGTGATG